CAACAACAACAACAAAAATAGTTGGACATTGTGCCAGGTGCCTATAGTCCCAGCTACTCAGGAGGCTGAGGCAAGAGAATCGCCTAAGCTTGCTGTGACACCATGGCACTCTACCAAGGGTGAGTAGAAAAAAAAAAAAGTTTTAAAAAATTTAGAATCTCCTTATCTCAAGAGTATTTGTCTCCCTAGAGTCACATAAAGGCAAACTCCTGTTTTATTTAGTTTTAATACTGCAAACCCCAAGCCCATGGATAAGGCAAATATGAGAGGCAGATTTTATTTGTCATTGAGTGCCTACTATGAGTAGGTGTTGTGAGGAGGATAATTATTAAAGAAATTAAGAAAATGAAAGGGCTGGCTTTCAATACATGAGATTTTTCTGCTCCTCTAAAAACATTTGATATTAAATTATAAAATTGTTGAAATAACTTCCTTTGCTATTCTCATATTTTTAAAAAGATATGTATTAAGGATTAACTATAAAGCTATAGTTCTGAAATCCCTGTGTTTCATTGAACACTAAGTGGTCTTTTTCTAATATTTAAGATTTTGGTGGACATGCCAAGATGACATTGTAAGGTACTTTTTTGTCCAGTTCTCAAAAGTAGCATTGATTGTCTAACTGCCACAGATTAGCTTCTAGGATCCACCTGTAGTGAGGCTTTTGAGTATTTTTAAGTCATAGGAGAGGTCATGAAAACATAAATTGTTACTATGTTGCCATTACAGTAGTCATTAGAAGGTATTCCTAGTTTTATCTAAGAGAAATGCATGGACCATCCACACAATTTTTGTATCTATAGCAGTCTCACAGAACTGACACATAATAGGTAGACAATAAACAATTGTGAACACATTTGACCACTACCAATTCATTCTTGTGTTCTATGAGTTTTCTATAGTCAAAATGAATACCACACATTTGCAGAGAACTATTAAGCACAGAACATTTTCCCTCCCGAGTTAACTGATTCTCCCATCTGAGGAGGTAATTTAGGTAAGTAATATTCATTGCATGGAGCTGTGTGTGCATTTTTCTTAAATGGAACATGCCTAATGTACTTTTTGTTTTCCTTATGGTAGCTGTAAAGCTTTCTGGGTAAGTTTTCATAAAAAGAAAATATGACAACCTAGAGAACAGAACTTTAGTATCGCATTAGTAGGATTTCTATCTTAAAAATATCTCAAGGAGGAAAAAAGAAAGTATAGTCTATTTAAAGTAGTCTTGTATCTGCTGGGACTACTCAGAACTAATGACCCCAGCACCTCTCTCCACCTTGGAATCTCAATGACCACCCATCATTCCTACCCCTTAAGGGCTACATCATACTTTAAAAAGCACCTGTGGAATCTAATTAACTGTCTGAAAAGTATCAAAACTGATTAAAGAATCTATTATCAGATGTTACTCTTTTAAAAGGCTTAAATGCAATGGAAAGCAAACTAAGTTGGGAAAAGCCAGCCTAGGGGAAAGTTGTATTGGACCTCTGAATTCCCACTGCCCTAAGCCTGCACTGTTTTGGAGGCCCTCTAATTCTGCCTTCCTTACTCCTAAAAGTCATGCAGCCAAGGGGTCTGTCCTGCCATAGAAAGCTTGCTGGCTGCAATCATGGGGCCTCTCAAAGGACTGGGCTTCTTGGTCATGCTGTCACTGGGTCCATGAGTCTAATTACACTAAGAAACACCTTTAATTAACATGGCCTAATGGAATCAACTTATGACTCAAGAATGTGATTGCTGATGTCAGCCAGATTAACCCTCCTTCGTGCTTGATCATATGATGCTCAACAGATGGGCTCCAAATCTAGCTTTTTAAAGTTTTGTTTGTGTGTGTGTATACGTTCATTATAACCACAAAATTCTTCAGCAGATAAAATCAAAAGTATCAATGGAATTCAATGTAGAAATATACACTGTAATATTTCACTGACTACCTTTATAGGATGTTCTTAAACACATCTTAGAAGTGTCTTTAATAATTTTTTTATTCTGCCTAAACTTTGAAAGTTAGGTCATTCACAACCTTTTCTAGTATTTAAAGTAACCCACTAATGATATTTTAATATAGAATTTACCAGAAGATTTTTTGCATGTAAGTCTATATAAATTCATATGTATTATACGTACACGTACATATGATACATAAATATGTGCATATGTGCGTGTGTATATAGTATATATATTGAATGTGTATATGATTGTATATGTTATAAATTGGCTCCATCTATCTTTGGTGGATTTATAGGTAGTCTTTAAAGAAATCTCTGAAGTCCCTGAAGCTACATGGGAAATTACATTTCTGTATGTGTGTATTTTGTGGGAAAACAGTTCCTAACTTCCATTTGATTCTCAAAATGGCCTGTGATCACCCCACCACCTCCAAAAAATAAAAAAAAGCTTAGGAATTTATGATTTATAGTCTAGAGCTGTACTGTCTAATACTGTTGCCACTAGGCTGTCACTCAAGGCTATTGAGCACTTGGAATGTGGCAAGTGTGAATTGAGATGTGCTGTCAGTATAACATACACAATAGATTTTGAAGAATTAATATTAAAAGCAAAGTAAAATATCACAGTGGTTTGTACGTTGATTACATGTTGAAATAACATCAGGCATATAGGGGGATAAATAAAATATACTTTAAATCCACTGGTTTCTTTTTGTTTTTGTTAATTTTGTTACCAGGAAATCTAAAAGTGCTCAGACTGCATTTCTATTGGACAGCACTGGTGTGGGGGAAAGTCAGAGCTTCCTCACAGGCTGGCTACTGATTTGTAGGAGGTACCTACCAGCAAAAACTTTTTATAATAGTTACAAAATTGGATTCTAAGAAATGTTTCAGCAAAAAGTTAGACTATGACTAAACATAACAGGCTTAAAAGCATACATTTAGGCGACACCTGTGGCTCAAAGGAGTAGGGCGCCTGTCCCATATGCCAGAGGTGGCAGGTTCAAACCCAGCCCTGGCCAAAAACTGCAAAAAAAAAAAAAAAAAAAGCATACATTTAAACTATTTTCATCCAAGTAACCCAGCATAATTTCCTTTAGGCAATCATGAGTTTGTAAGAAGTCTGATGTTGACTCTGAACCACTGCCATCCCAATTTGTACACAATGCACACAGTACACTTTGATAAGAACCTTAGGACAGTAATGACTCAAAGCAAACTTTTGGTCTTAGAACATCAATAAAGTGCTACATTTAGAAAGCCTAGGAAATGTATTGGAAAGTATTTGCAAAGAAATATCTCAAGGGAAATGCTGGAATTCCCAGTCTTTAAATATATATGTAAATGGCACCTTGATTTATGAATCTAGAGCTCACCATCCTTATGTAGCATACAGCACCTCTACTTTACAGACGTACATGTCTGAATGGTCAAAAAGGCTGATTCAAGCAAGAACTCTGTGGTGCTCTCCCCTGGGTCCGTGGATGCCAGTACACTGCCTGGCACACAGCCGATGCTGGTAAATGCTCACTGGTTGATAACAGTTTTCTGATTCTAACACAAAATTTCTAGCTTCAACCAGTATCTGATTACAACACCTTTGCTGTTCCCCAAATATCACATGTTGGGAGAGAAAGGTGCATCTAATTTTTTGAAATTCTCACCATATATCAACGGGACTTAAATATTTGGCTTTCTCTATCAATAAAACTTTTGCATATTTTTTTAAAGCAATCTAATGTTAAATCATGCTTCCTGGTTCCAAAAACAGAACAGCAGCTTGACTAGATGTCACACCCAATTGGCATTTATTCCATTTATTCAATGCACTAAAAAAATGAAATCTCTCTCTCTCTCTCCCTTTCTTCCCCACTCTTTTTCCCGCCCTCTCCCCCCGCGCGCCCTTTAATCTCAGTTGTTTCTGTTTTGGATTTTTCTTGGCCTCCCAACCTGGCAGCCTCTCCCGCTTTGCGTTGGCGAGTGCCCATCCAACTCCATTCCTCAAAAAGTTGTGAGCTTTGTTAAGGGGTCCAAGACAAACCCTAGATCTGAGTTCTTCCGAGCTGCGTCGGAGTTTATCCGGGAGTTCACCTTCAGAAATGGAATTCGCCTAGCGACAACTTCCAGTCAACTTGACAGCGCAAGCCTGGCGCATTACACCAGGGCTCAAGAAAGGCACACACACGCCCAGGCGCGCTCTCACATGCCACAGGCGGGTGAGTCCTCCGCCTCTCCGGGAGCCTAGACTGAAGGTCTGACGGTCTGTCGCGCCGGTCCCCACCTCTTACCCGCCAAACCTGGACAATACTTGGTCCACATACCCAGAACTGCAAAACACGCAACTCCCATCCCAGTCCCGCCCGGGTACAACCAATGCTGTTTACCGTCTTGTACCACCAGCTCGCAAAGGCCATGGCGACAATCGCCTTGCTCCGATCCTCGAGGCGAAGGGCACGGGGTGCTTTCTTGGAGGCGGCGAGCTCACACTTGGCCCAACTGGGACCTTGCTGGCGCTGAGCACTGCTTAGGCCGCAGCTGCCAGGTGGGCAGGCACCTGGGGGCGGTGCCCGAAGTTCGCCCCGCCCCGCTTGCCTGGCCCTGTCCTGCCGGATTTGGCTCTGGGCTAGTGAGGGTAGAGGTGCCATTTCTGCAGGCAGCCACACCCTTGCATCCCGATTTTACCCGGAAGGCAGGATCCCGTTGTCCGGTGAAACGCCCCAACTTTCTCTGGGGGGACTAAAAGAACTTTACTTTCATCCTCATTCTCATTTCACCCACGTCTCACCAGCTAGCTTTTCTCGATGCGCCCCCAGCCCACCCCGGCCAACGTCCCGTCCCAACACACTAGACCTAGGCCCGGGGACCTCTAGCCACTTCCAGCCACCTGCCTGATGGCCCACACTGGGCCCGAGACCTTTCCTGGTCCGAGACCCGGCACAAGAGGCAGCAGGCCGGGCAGGCCCGGCAACGCCCGGGAAGGCAGCCCACGACTCTGGGACCCGGGTCCCAATGTCGCCCCAGCCCCGCAGCTCCGACCCGAGCGCCACTCACCTCCTGGGTGTGGCGGGCCGCTGGGCTGCGCCGGGGCCGCGGGGAGGCGGCGGGCTTCTGGCCAGGGTGGGACATGGCACGGCCTCTGCGGGCGCTGCCTGGGGAAAGGAGCAGCGGAGAGGAGAGGCCCAGGCCGGGAGCACTAGGAGGGAGGGAGCGAGCGGAGGGGCAGGGAGAGCGCCGGTGAGGTAGCTTTTCCGACCCAGCCCCGCGCCGACGCCCGGGCTCCCCCTCACCCCGATGGGCCCTCCCCTTCCTGCCGGGGCTGGCTGAGGCCCGGGGGTAACTGTCCAGGGCTGCTAGTCTGTAACTTAACACCTCTGCCCAGGGTCTTCACCCAGTGACACCCCCCCTCCCGAGCCCCCGGGACTGCACAGCTCCCCGATGGTCAGAAAGCTGGTGCGTGAGGTTGCAGGGTCCCTGACCTGTCCAGGCTTATCTTACGGTTGTGCTACGGGACAGCGGGACCCGGGCAAGGCCCCTCTGCGCCTCGACCCTCCTGTCTAAGAGTCTGGAGAAGTAGAAACCTGTCCTGCGTTGTGCTCTAGAGAATTTACCGACTCAAATCTGCCTCAAGTCTGGACTGAATGATAAGGAAGAGGCTCGGGCAGACCAGTCTGTGTGTACGCGCGTGCCGACGCTGGGTGTTTTGTCATTTTGCTTTCTTTGCTTTGTTTTGGGGTTTCTTTTTTGTTTGTTTTTGTGTTTTTTGGTAATTTCGAAAGCTTAATAATCTCTTATGGAGAGAAGACCCTAGCTTCCGATCCACCACGGCACACAGTCCCTAATTTAAACCCTTCTAGCTACTCAGGAGTTAGGCGGATTTTATTTCTGACACCGGATTGCTTTTGTCTCGGGCTCAGCTTACACAGCATTTCCTGTTCAGGGGCTGGAAGTGGGATTGAGCAAGCCTTGCTGGACGCCCTGGGCGAGAGGCTGTTGGCCGAGGTCGCTGCTGGTTCCTGATCAGACCTGGCATGTGACCCTGCACTAGCATCGTCATTCTGGGATCCGGGGTCGCACGCAGCTCTCGGCTGTGCTGTGTTTTAGACAGTTGAGAGGGAAGCAAATTATAGGGAAAGGACGGCATTCTGGTTTCCCCTCCACCCCTCAGAGTTAGGAATTGTGACTTCCTCTTCCTCAAGCAATAGGCTGGCAGCATTCTCACTTGTGGTAGGTAGGGAGGGGAGAATTTAAATGCATTTCCTTTTAAAGGGTTACTACCTGTGTGTCTCGTATTGCTACAAACAGAGGGTAGTGCAGGAATTTATAAATAAATGAAGCGATTTGTATATGAGGACTGCATCCATTCAGGAAAAACTAGTGGCGTCAGTTACTTTCATAAGGGGGGGAAATATGTCATAAGCCTAAGAAAAGATCGTCAGCAACCACTGCAGTCATTTCAACGAACACAAAAGATGGCGTGAGGTGATGACTGTTCTTTCTCCTTGCCCCAGGAACTGGAATGGCTTATCACTGGGGGCCTAGATGTTTCAGAGTCAAAGTTTTAGGTACCTGGAGTTATTTTAACCCTGGGAAAAGGTTCCCCACTGACTTGTTGGCATTAAAATTTGAAGTATTTTCCAACAGAGTATTAAAAAATTGAATTTAAACCAGTTCCTCATATTTTTTAAGAGTCTTCTATGTAAAGCACTGTGAAAGTGACAGTAGAAATGTAGCAGGAAACTGGGGCAGACAGAAGACTCCAGGCACCAGTTGGAAGAGGAAGTGGCTTTATTCCCCGGCGGGGGACTCCTCAGACTAGTGTCCTAAAAACCCAGCCCACCGACTTAATCTCTTGCCTTTCTTTTGTACATTTTTTAGGGATAGGGAGCACATGAAAGTCGTGAAGGATGTGAGAGACGAGACAGATGTGAAAGTCTTGGGACTCAAGGGAAGGTCAGGTTGGCCCTCCCCCGGTACCTGTCGGGCTACCTGTCCTCAAAGATGAGGGAAGGTTAAGGAAGTTACAAGGTTACTATCTAGGCCCAGCACATGCCAAGGGAAGCGCATACAGATAACAGAGACATCCACGGCAGTAGAGGTAGGAGTGTTACAGACCGTTTGGCTAATGCCTATACAGAGTGACTAGGACAGATCTTTAGCTCTGCTTTTACTCTCTTGCCTCAGAAGGAGAGAAACGATTAAAAACATACATTCCCTGCCTGGGGACTTACAGAGTGGCTGAAGTCATATGGCATTTGTAACACATGGTGATTTAAGTAACACTGAAAGACATACAGTGTGGGGCAGTGCCTGTGGCTCAAAGAGTAGGGCGCTGGCTCCATATACCAGGGGTGGTGGGTTCAAGCCCCGCTCGGCCAAAACTAAAAAAAAAAAAAAAGACATACAGTGCATGATTAAATAAGCATGAACGTGCTGCGGTAGTGTGGGATTTTTTTTTATTTATTTATTTTTTTTTTTTGCAGTTTTTTGGCTGGGGCTGGGTTTGAACCTGCCACCTCCAGCATATGGGGCTGGCGCCCTACTCCTTTGAGCCACAGGTGCCACCCAGGAGTGTGGGATTTTGCAGGTGTTGTAGATTATGAGATTCAAATGCTGCCTGGCTTTGGGGGTATGAACAGGAAAAGGGGTGGGGACAGCTCAGGAGACAAAGAGGAATCCACGCCTGGCTGGAGCTGAAGGTCTATGTTCAGGAGTAATGAATTCATTCATCACCTAGTTATTAACTGAGCAGCTACACTGTACCACATGATAGACTAAATATCAAAATCTGTAAGAGATAATGACCCTAGACTTCAGGCTTTGCTTAGGAATCAGAACTCACATAAGCAGAACAATTGCTAAACATTACCTTAATGACCATGAGGAAAGAAGAATTTCAAAGAAGCTGAAGAAGAGAGCAGTGTTTTCCTTCTTTTATAATCAGTGAGGAGTTACTGGACTTTGACATCACTGACCAGCATTTGTATATCTTGGGAAGGTTCCTTTTAACTGTACATGGCTTCTACTGTATCATCTGCACAAATGGTAAGCATTTGTCAGTAACACACCTCTGCTATGGAGAGAGTACAGGAGGCTTCTTACTGTCAAGGACTTTGAAGTCCAGTAGAAGAGATAGAGTTTATGGCAGCCCCACATGGAGTGTGTCTGTCAGGGCACTATTGTTCCAACAGCATGTGTCATGTGTGTGCTCACCTCATATCTTTGTCACATTCTGTGTCACATTGTAGTAATTCTTGCAATATTTCAAACTCTTTTATTATTGTATCTGTCATGCTGATCTGTGATCAGTGATCTTTTATGTTACTATTGGAACTGTTTTGGGGTGTCCTAAACTGAACCCACACCCATAGAAGATGGTGAACTTAATCAGGTAAAGTTCTGTGGTGGTGATGTTTGCTCTCAGTGCTCTGCTGTCCAGCTGTTCCAGCTAGGAATCTATTTAGGAACCTATTTGCATATAAATATATACTTGAAACAGTATTCCTATAGAAAAGTAAAGAATAGAGCTGGCTGGGCACCCATCGCACAGTGGTTAGGGCACCAGCCACATGCTCCCAGGCTGGTGGGTTCAAACCGGCCCAGGCCTGCTAAACAAAGAAATAGCCAGGTGTTGTGGCTGGTGCCTGTAGTCCCAGCTACTAGGGAGGCTGAGGCAAGAGAATCGCTTAATCTCAAGAGTTGGAGGTTGCTGTGAGCTATCACGCCACAGCACTCTACTAAGGATGACAAAGTGAGACTCTGTCTCAATAAAAAAAAGAGAGAGAGAGACAAAGAAACACCCAGGTAAGTAATACTTCCCATTTGCTGGAGGCTGCTATGCCACATTTTGAACATACACCACGGTGGGTGAAGCTTTAGATCAGGCGTCCTCAAACTATGGCCCGTGGGCCACATGCGGCCTGCCGAGGACATTTATCCAGCCCGCCAGGTGTTTTTGCCGCTGCTGCCTGTCCTGCTTAGCAGCCGACTTGTCCGAGGCCCGCAGTCCAGCCCTCCAACGGTCTGAGGGACAGTAAACTGCCCCCCTGTTTAAAACATTTGAGGACCCCTGCTTTAGATCCTCACAGCTGTGTTCCAATTCCAGCTCTGCCACTTCCTGACTGTATATTCTGAGCAAGTTACCTAATCATTTTGAATCTCAGTTCCCTCACTTCTTACCTGTGGATAATAAAACTGAATATCTACTTCCTAGGGTTATTTGGAAGAGTGAATGAAGCAAAGTAGTAAAGGACTTAGCACAGTGCTTTGTGTATAATAATTGTGCAGTAAATGCTGGTTTAAATTATTAAATTGCATTTATTGTTGTTAAATTATTTTATTAATTAATTTATTTATTTAGACAAAGTCTCACTCTGTTACCCTGGAAGAGTGCCATGGCATCATCAGAGCTTACAGCCCTAAAGTCTTGGGCTCAGGCAATCTTCTTCCTTCAGCCTCCAGAGTAGCTGGGACTACAGGTGCCCACAACAATTCCTGGCTATTTTTTATTGTTTTTTAGAGAATGGGTTCTTGCTGTTGCCCAGGCTGGTCTGGAACTCCTGAACTCAACAACAACAAAAAATGTACCTGCCTCTGCCTTCTGGAGTGGGCTGGGATTATAGGCATAAGCCACTGCATCTGGCCTAATTAAATAATTTTAAACTCCTAAATATTCTCTGGACAGGGCCAAAACATTTTTGGCCAAATCCTAGGTCACAAGCAACCTCCTGTCCAACAGATGAATATTCTAGATCTGTTTCCATTCAGCCAGCATTCCAGACATTCTTTAGACCATAGCTGAGCAGCACCCCAGGAGGGTCCTGATCCAGACCCACATACCTGAGCTGGCAGCCAGAATCCTCCCTTATGTGCTCAGTCCTGCACATGGGTGCTTTTTCTATTTCCTCAGGAAATACAAACTTAATTGCCATATTTGTTTCATTTGTGTGTGTGCTGATCGAATGGCTAGTTATTTGAAACTACCCCAGCATTTACTAGGCAACAAAGAGACCAAGTGTGGGGTGATGAATGCAAGGTACATCTTATTTCCAAAGCCCTGCAGTGTCCTTCCTGTCCTGGAACCATTACAAGTTTGTAATGGACCCTCACACCTGGAAACAACACAGGAAACTGAGTCACAAAATTACATTTTCTGATGGGCAGTTTATCTCCAGAAATCAAATTATGGTTTTGAAATCTTGC